ATGTTCTTCAAAATTTAATGTAGTGCATTTTTTTTTGCTCTACGAATTTCATTCAAATATTGTCCCCTTCTCTCTCTCTCTCTCTCTCTCTCTCTCTCTCTCTCTCTCTCTCTCTCTCTCTCTCTCTCTCTCTCTCTCTCTCTCTCTCTCTCTCTCTCTCTCTCTCTCTCTCTCTCTCTCTCTCTCTCTCTCTCTCTCTCTCTCTCTCTCGCTCTCTCTCCCTCTATCTCTCTCTCTTTCCCTCCCTCTCTCCCCCTCTCTCTCCCTCTCTCTCTCTCTCCTCTCCTCGTCTCCCCTCCCTCATTTCGGGCCCGCTGGCTCAACAGCGCGGCTGGTGCCACTGGCCCCTCCGTCAGACACCGACCGTAGAGGCTGGCCGACGCGACGGCCCGGTGCAGTGGCCGCTTTAAATTGCTCAGAGGGATCAACCAAGCGACAGTAGTGATATCGCGTCGCGCCGGATATTATTAATTCCCGCTCCCTCGCCGTCTCAAGTGGGACGTTTTTGGTAGCTGGCGGCAGTGGGGGTAGGGAGGGGGGATGGAGAGGAATGATACTGCGTAAAGGACTCCGGAGCTGGCAGGCCGCGGAATGTGCGCTTTGTGAATGTTCCAGGAGAAGTTGAGAAGTAGATTTGGCGATATGTTTTCAGTTTTGCAACCAGTTATGTAACTAGATATGACTTTAGCTAAAAATATTTTAAGAAACTGATATACATAGTATATACATAAGCTGAAGGGTTGGGTTAATGGCTACAACGCACAGTGCCATGAATGCCATACATGCCCTTATTTCAACACCATTTTTCGGCCCCAACCCGCCAAAACACTTCCTAGAGCTAAGACAATTGTGCCGGACCGCCTCGTTTGATTCTGCTCGATCTCTGGTAGCCCTCAGTGTCCAACAAATCAGAGCGTGTCAATCGGTGTGAAGACGAACGGCGTTGGCGGAGATATCGGTTAGTGTCGGCTGACAGCTCAGCTGGTATAAATTGTGCCGCACCGCCGCGTCCGTCCACCACTGCCAACACACCGCAGCCGTCGGATGTGCGGTCTCCGCAGCCACCGCAGCCGGTATCATCACTGCCAGCAAGATTAGCTACATGAACATATAACTGTCAGCTTTGCTGCTTGCTTCGCCATCAGAGTCGACAGTTACGCATGTGGCACAAGACACAGGCTGGCCTTACCCACTTAAATATTAGATTCACCCGCGGTATGAACTCAACGCCTTCACACTAGAGATTTGACGTTGAGCAAGTGCCTGCCAAAACTCTGCCACAGTGAAATGGCTCGGGAAACTATCAGATCGGAATGTTAGACGTGGAATGGGTTTACGCCTTCAGACAGGGGCGGATCCAAGGGGGGGGGGGGTCACATGGGTCATGACCCCCCCCTTGAGGCCCGGGGGCCCAAAGACCTGCCAGGGGCACCACCGGCCTATCAGGGGTATCACAGTCCTGACAGGGGCACCACAGGACCGCCAGGGGCACCACAGGCCTAGCAGGGACACCACGGGCCTGGTGCCCCTGGGCCCTGACAGGACTGTAACGCCCCTGACAAGCCTGAAGTGTCCCCGGTAGGCACGTGGTGCCCCTGACAGGCCTGAGGCGCCCCTGCAAGGGCGGTGGTGCCCCTGGCAGGCCTGTGATGTCCATGGCAGGCCTGTGGTGCCCTTGCTAGGCCTCTGGTGCCCCTGACAGGCTTGTAATGCCCCTGGAAGGACTGTGGTGCCCCTGGGCCCTGACAAGCCTGAGGTGCCCCTGACAGGCCAGTGGTGCCCTTGCTAGGCCTGTGGTGCCCCTGGCAGGCCTCTGGTGCCCCTTACAGGCTTGCGGTGCCCTTGGAAGGACTGTGGTGTCCCTGGGCCCTGACAAGCCTGAGGTGCCCCTGACAGGCCCGTGGTGCCCTTGTTAGGCCTGTGGTGCCCCTGGCAGGCCTCTGGTGCCCTTGCTAGGCCGCTGGTGCCCCTGGCAGGCCTCTGGTGCCCTTGCTAGGCCGCTGGTACCCCTGCGCCCGGAGAGGACTGGTGCCCCTGAAAAGTCTGAAGTGCCCCTCGGCAGGCCCGTGGTGCCCCTGACAGGCCCAAGGTGCCCCTGCGAGGCCGGTGGTGCCCCTGGCAGACCTCTGGTGCCCCTGGCAGGTCTGTGGTGCCCCTGACAGGTCTGTGGCGCCCCTGGCAGACCTGTGTTGACTGGTGCCCCTGCTAGGTCGCTGGTGCCCCTCACAGACCTGTGGTGCCCCTGGGCCTTGACAAGCCTGAGATGCCTGGCTATGACAGGCTCGTGGTGCCCCTGATAGACCAGTGGTGCCCTTGCTAGGCCTGTAGTGCCCCTGGCAGGCCTCTGGTGCCCCTGCTACCCCTGCGCCCGGAGAGGACTATGGTGCCCCTGAAAAGCCTGAAGTGCCTCTCGACAGGCCCGTGGTGCCCCTGGCCCCTGACAGGCCCAAGTTACCCCTGCGGGGTCGGTGGTGCTCCTGGCAGACCTCTGGTGCCCCTTGCAGGTCTGTGGTGCCCCTGGCAGGCCTGTGTTGACTGGTGCCCCTGCTAGGCCGCTGGTGCCCCTCACAGGCCTGCGGTGCCCCTGGAAGGACTGTGGTGCCCCTGCCCCTAGGGGTGCTCATGGGCCCAACAGGTCCGTTGTGCCCCTGACAGGCCTGTCGTGTATACTTGCTAGACCTGTGGTGCCCCTACTTCCTGGCAGGCCTGTGGTGCCCCTGGCGGGCCTGTGGCGCCTCTACAAGGCCGTAGGTGCCCCTGAAAGGTTTGTGGTGTCCCTGGAAGGACTTTGGTGCCCCTGACAAGCCTGAAGTGTCAAGGACAGACCCTTTAGACGCCAGGGTCAAGTTCGTCGGACTGACAACGATTTGCTTACCTGATAACGTTCCTGGTAAGTACTCACTACTCAGCGTCCACAACATATATACACATAGCATCTATGCCCATAGCACATTCATATATACTTGCTTACAATTGGTAAATGTGGTTGTGGCTAAGAGTTAAGATACTGACTAAAAATAAAAAATAAAAAGAAAAAAAAACTGAAAATGGGGGCACCACCAAAATGAAGTGGACGAAATCCGTTGAGTTTTTAATTTTGGGTATAGGTAGGGGCACCACTTCGATTCATGACCCTCCCCTTGGAGTTTTCCTGGATCCGCCCCTGCCTTCAGAGGAAAGTTCATCAATTGTTTGACGTTTGCAATGATCTGTGGGAGTTATCTGTAATATCGTGGCATTTCCTCATGACACGAATGAAATGTGGTCATATGTTGGGTGTTACGACGGCATGCTGTGATAACCCAACTCATGTTCTAATGTTAAGCCCACAGGTGTGTGAGCATGCATTTTACATAATCGAAGATGAATGATCGAGGGATTATGTGCGATCTGATGTGCATGGATGGCAACAGCATGCGCACAGTTCGCTGAATGTAACATCCAATTAAGTAAGAAATAATTCAATTAATGATTTTAACTGCCCATAATCATATCCACAATGTTATTCCTGTTCAACGCGCAAATTAGCTTCTTCCAACCCCGTTTCCTATAGTGTAATGGTGTATGGTAAACTACTGACAGGCAGAGACACCAACTTTTATACTCACATGAACCCCGTAACGATGCCGTTGATGTGTTCGTGTTCCGGTCAGTTTGGGCGTCCGCCAGAAGAAAAAATGCACATGTTTGTGTCTGTTCTGAGGGGTGTTCACGGGCACCGCACACTGCTGCGTGCGCTGTGTGCGGTACGTCCAGCAGGCGTGGGGGTAGGGGATGGGTAGGCGGCTCTGACGTCACGGCTGCGTGCGGTGGACGGTCCGCTGTGGCCAGTCCCGACCGGCCACAGCGGTCGCTGTGTGCGGTGACGCAAGGCTGACGTAGGGACGCAGTGGGCGGAGCTTGGAGGCTGTGTGCGGTCCGACCGCACACAGGGTCCGTGAACAGCCCTCCGATCTACATAGGCACGGCACGATTATTTGAACAGCAGCCATTCAATGGTAAACGGGATATCCTGCAAACATGCCCGGCATCGCTACGTGACTTTACGGCATCGCCGGCATGTCCGCGGAAATGGACCACCTTTGTCGGAGCGGCTGCTGAATTCTGACCGATCTTACGTCCAAATAGATACCTACGTTTCCTTCAGTTACTGCTGGCTGGGTCAATTATATGAACAAAAAGACGAATCACGATGTTTTCTGAGGAAAAGCTGGAGGAGTCCCATAACCGATCCAAGTGACATTAGTGGAGGCGAATGTTTCCTAAGCTGGCAAAACACAAGATGAAGGTACTCACCATTGGAGACTGGTGCTGAAGGGCGTAGGCTCTTGGGCGCGGATGTCCTGCAGAGATGTTCGCTGCCGCAAATGCTGCTCGTTGAGGTATGAATAAACTCCTACTCCTGGCAATGGCGCTGGCTGTGAAGAGAAAGAAATAACCGCTGAGGTTTTTCCTTGATTAGACAAACACTATTCGTTAGAATTGTGTTTTTCTATTGAAAAACAACCGGAGCAGTCCTTCACCGGGTATGTCTGCAGTCTGAGATGGGAGCACGCCTCTTAGTTGAGTAATTAATGATCTCTCAATTACTTACTGAGTTTTCTGCGCAATATGAACAATTGAAAGAACCAGCTGGGGAAATGCGGTCAAGATGCGGGCAGTTTTTTATGCGGTGGAACCAAGCGGCTCCCGGTTGCGAGCCGTTTGGCAAACTCACCTACCGCTGTTTTCACGCAGCCTCATCACTGTCAACTCCTCCGTCTCTGCTCCACCCACCGTAATTCATCGTCCAAAGACTTTATCTCCTTTACCACCTCCGCTTCCGTCACCGCTTCCGTCACTCCCCCTCACCTCCCCCCCCCCCCCCCCCTCCTACTCCCCGCTATCGTCACTCGAGCCAGCCAGCCTGGCGGGGTTGGCGCGTCGGTCGCGCGCCGACGCCTCTTCCCCACGCCGAACCACCGTCGCCGGCGACGACGGCAACGACGGCAGCCAGTCGAGTGCGGCGGCGGCGGCGAGTCCAGTCGCGCGCGCGGAGCCGACGGAGCCGGGCACGTGCGTGATCTAGGAGTCGGGAGGATGGCCGTCGCCGGGAGGCTGGCGCTCAGCCTGCTGCTGCTGGTGGTTAGAGGTGAGTTGGGAGGGAAGGAGGAAGGGCAAGTGGATAAACTACCCAGGGGCGTGCGCCATGCCTGTGTGCTTTTAAACGTGAGGTGAGTAAAATTGTGTGGACCTGACTAAAGCCTTTGATTCTTCTGCCAGTGTTTCTCTTTAATCGAATGATTCCGTATGGAGGACAAATTTGTACAATTGGAGTAAGGCTTTGAACTGCGATATCAAGCAACCAGGTAACTTTCAGGCTTCAAATTAACGATAAACCTGAATCTTCCCTATCTTTCCTCTGGGCAAGCAAATCCACATCCTTGCCACACTACGTTTCGCGGCTAACGGCCACCCCACCCAGACAACCTGCATGGAGCGTTGGTGATCACTGATCAGCTCCATTACGAGCACATCCCACCAGAATAACCGTTTTAGTTTTCAGCTGGATGACCTATCCCACCGGACAGTTGTCCAGTCCCACAGGGCCACTCCGGTCAAATCGGGACAGGCACATCCTTTGCCGTGCACCTGTCGGTGGTCGATTCAGCTCAATCACCATATCCTCTCCATTCATGGCTCTGCAATGGTGGCAATAAAGTAAATGGTCCTAATCCATCCAAACGTGAAACAAAAACAAAACGTAGGATAGTGTCACGATGGTTAGACAATAGACATTGCATGAGTAATGCTACCTTCTACCATGAGCAAACGCTACCTTCATGCCAATGTTTCAATTTTTTGTGGTTCGTGGTAGGTAAAGGCAAAGCATATTATTACAAGCGAGCAGTACCATTACTGCTCAACTGATATATTTGTAGGTTTAGCTAAAACCCCATGCACCCTGCAAACAATCCTCCACTTTAAAAGCAGTGGGCGCCGGATCGGTCGTTCATGGGGTACGTCGGCATATTCCCAATGAGCTGACCGGGGGCGGCTCAGGAAGTTGGCCAACCTGCTTAAAGCAGCGGCGGCAACATAAGACACGATTGGTTGCTGCAGACCTGGGAGCGATCGCAAAACTTGGCGAGGTTGGAGAAGTTCAAATAAGGAGGGGCGGCGAGGGCAAACCCGCCGCATTAACATCACCACTGCACAGATATAGTACCTTTATACCTATATCTTATATAATATGAGATGCTACTTTGGTTACACCGAAACGTAGGCCTGGGTATGCTTATCTCCCCACCGGGGGGGGGGGGGGGGTTCTTCGCAAAGGTTGAAAGGTAGAATGTTTAATAGGGAAAGAAGCAAATTAATTTTACACGTTTATATCCTCAATTCCATTGATATTAGCCGTTTTCACGATGGCCATCTGGTACACATTTGGTGCACATCTGGTACAGATTAGGTGCAGATTTGGTCAAATCGGGTTCAGTGTGTCTCTTAGCAGCTATCAGCTACGGTTGCACTAATTGCTGATATGCCTGCTTTGTCATATTATCAGAGAGCATCATCGATTAAAACACTGAAAAAAAAAATTCATAAAACGAATATATTTGCTATAAAAGGAATTAGATGCAGATTTGGTCAAATCAGGTGCATTCGCCGGATAGCCCGTCGTGAAAACGGCTATTGTTTTGCCTTCTCTTGCGCTTATTTATAAAACCCGATGCTACGCAGTACGCACGCATGGAAGATTTTGGCATAGGTACCTACCGACTGAAGCGTACAGTACTCGAGGCTCGTCGCTGCTTTTGGCTGACAAAGCGTGGCTCATCACAGAGTGCTGGTTGCACATATTGCAACCTTCTAGTTGCAGCTTCTCTTGCTGAAAAGTATTGATATTTTGATAAGCAATTATAAAAAGGGTGATGAAAATGAACAGCAAATAAAAAATTATATTTTGATGCTATTAAAATTTGCTTTTAGCTTACAAAAGTGCATGAGAACTTAGGTTCTCTTCACGTGCTGTGCTCCATGTGATTTACAAATTATGACCCTGACTGGCACAATATTGTTAGTGTTTCACCTTTATTACAAAGTTCTTCCATGAAAGAAGACAAAATAATTTACCCAAAGCCATATTGTCAGAACGACGGAAGCTCTGCATCACAGATCTGCCCGAATCTTTGCTTTGCTACCACTTTGTTGCTAAGGAGCACGAAAACTTTTATTGTTCACATTTCATTTATGAGCGAAATACCGTACACGATAGCACTCGCTTTTGAATGGTATGACTGACATTAGTTAGTGCAATGTTAATTGATTCACTTGGCCTGTAATTACGTTATCACCGTCTTGCGTTGAATAAAAACAGCACGTCGCCGGGAGCAATTTATAAAACGTAACGCATATGAAACTTTGAGCAGTGCCATTTGGCTGGAAGGCGCGTGATGCTTCACGTTTACGACCGAAACGCATCAGATCACATTTCCGACGTGCTGTTAGTTATTCTAGCAATCGCTGCATAGGTGCCTCCAGTGAAAACTGTATGGTTAAAGACCATCATGTTATTTTTTTCTGTATGGTATTATAGTAGTTTTGGAAGCTACCCCGTAATGTTGATAATGTACGTGAGACTTTTATTTGTGGTCTAGCATTATAGTGAAGATGTCATTTGTTATGAAGCACAGAATGAACACAGTGTTTTCTGAAGATTGCAGAAAAGTTTTAGGCATACTTTCCGACTCATCCAGACTTAACTATTTTTGCTTCCTGTCCCCCCTCAAAATCTTTGTCAGTGCTTTCAAACGATTTGATCGAATTGATTGCCTGTAATGGAAAGATTAGAAATATGTCTATTAGATTCCTATAAACGCTTCAGATTGGAAGATCTTTTTACAAACTACGCAAAACTCGGGCTGTTTACGGTACTTCCTCGATCAGAAGCAGGCGATTATAACACAACGGCTAATCCATCCAGTACGCGCACACCCCAGGACCAATGCCATAAAATGCAACATAAACGCAAGCCTACATCGATCTGCACCCAGCCAATGTGAGTTCGACGAGCGGCGATGGCATAAACCAAACGATTCGGAATGTCACTGGAACAATCGCCGGGGCCGATTAGGGTGCGCAAACACCACCCGATGTCGCCGAGCAGCGGCGTCGACGGCGTTTGTTTGAGGGCCATGAGCGCTGATTTGTCGTAGCATTAACGACGGCCCTGCGGCGGTGGTCGCTAAAAGCTGTTCAGAAAACAAGGCTCTCGTTGGTCGGAGCACTATGGTCTGGAACGCTGAGACTGAGTGGGTTGTTATGACGCAATTAATCACCGCGGTAACTGTGACGTGGCGTGCTGTGATTCGTCGGCTACAGTGCCTAGAATTTACACTATCGGAAGTCGGAACTATCACTATCACTGACACATCGGTTTGAAAATATAAGTTTCTTTTGAGATACTGTGACCGGGTGGAATCACTTCTTGTTTGATATGGGTATGCAACATGCCTGGAAAAGAACGAATAATTCAAGTATTGTTAAACGTTCTTGAGTCGTCACTTGTCATAACCCTCGCCCGTATAGGGGGGGGGGGGTCGAACGGACCCCCCATGGTTTTTCGCAAATAACTCGCATAAAAAGCGGCCGATCGCGACGAAACTTTCAGTACCCTCGCGTTCATCAATTTTACACCTACCCTGAAAATTTCATGACCCTGACCCAAATGACCTTTGACCTGTGACCTACTTTTCGAGACCATGTTTGGCCGGAATCGCGATTCCGCGTATGTCGGCTCGCATTAGCCGCGCGTTTGCAGTCTTTTCGTGGTTTCAAGCGTTCAAACATGTGATATGATGTTGCCCCCATGCATTAGGGTGGGTGTCAAGGTCACCTGAAGGTCAGGTCAGGTCATTGACCTTTGATGACCTCGGTTCACTTTTTCGAGTTTTACATGTTTCTAGACCAGTTTTTGGAGCTGAATTCGAATTTAGCAACCATATGAACATTTACGAAGTAGTTTTGGTGCCTTCGTAACATGTTACGAAGCTGTTAGAGGCGGTTGCCACCTACTACGAATACCCTTACTGGTTGACCTGACCTGACCTGACCCGACCTGGCCTAAATGCATGAAGACATCATCTGTGATCAAAACTAACATGATATTCGTGATCAGCACCCCGAAAAACCCCATAGCAGCCACACTTCACGACGTTCTAACAGGTCCCGATTTTCCCGACTTTTGGGTCATTGACCTGACCTGCAAGGTCAACCAATGACCTAGGACCTTAAAATTGGGTATCATCGGCTTCCTCTCGTCACGAGCAACACGCTCGTTTTTTCCGCGAAGCTCTAGCTCGATCAGGGGCGAAACGGCAAGGGGGGGTCCAACGGACCCCCCCCCCCCTTATACGTTCGCGGCTGGAAAAACACCAATACGGGCGAGGGTTAAGATGGGTGTGCAATGGGAAGCTATATAAACACACAAGTTATCGCATCTGTTGAATATTGGTCGCATTCACGGACGCACTGCCATAGGGTTTATTTATACGTCCGTGGCTGTATCCGTTTTCTTGTGAATGAATGCAACAGTATTGGGAGCGAGCCAAGGAGCAAAAACCGCCTCTAAATCTATCATCTGAAAGCGTTATTTGCAAATTTGTTCAGCTCAGAGCCAGCCAACTGTCACAACGCAAACGCATTGCAGAGCTTCTTCCGCTTCTTCGCTAAATTTATGCTACAGACTGACCATGACTGACCATCACTGACACGCACAAGCTCACTTTAAGTATACTTCAGCAAATAAAATGCATGTTTTATTGCGTCAGATCAGCTTTTATAGATCTCAAACGGCACACATAAATGGCTGGTGGTCCCCATAATCCGATTGCTCCCACGCCTTCCGCTGGTACCCATCATTTTCTTTTCGTGCGCAAAGCCAGAGGTAGAGCCGAGCAAGCCATTTATCAGTTGCTACACATTGCTCAGCTTTATTTAGCCGCATCCAACCGGTGCAGCTATTTAGAGCGGACCGAGATCGGTGATACCAAGCCTTTCCATAAGCTTTGCAATGAGTAAAACTGTCTTTGCTTTAGGTATCGGTGAGTGAATCTCCATCATATACGGGCAAGTGTATTACGCCGATAT